ACTGCTGGGGCAGAGTGGGACACTTACTCCAGGTGGTCGGGAGGCCTGCTAGGTCTCTGAACAGGTAATACAAAGACCTGTAGAATTGCCCACAGGCAGGCAGAGAGCTTCAGAGCAAAGCAGGGCTGGGGGTGGGGTGGGGTGGGGTGGGAAGCTGTCTGGGAGCCCCAGAGGGACCAAGATCGAAGTTGCCCCTGTGGTGCACTGTTTGCAGCCCCACTCATGGGAGTATGTGTCCGCTGTCTGCAGCTGTTGCTTAGGGCTCAGGGTGGGAGTGGGTAGGGAGTAGGGTAGGGGAGTTAGCAACTCTATTTTGATTTGATTGCCCTCAAGGGACCCACCAAAGACTCAGCCCTAGTGGGCCTCAGGGTGCTGTGGAGATGCAGGTTGCCCCTGTGCTGCAGGATCTCCTCCCAGAAAGGAGTGGGTTATAGACAACCAAGGGCCAGCAGGGCTGTGGTATGTGGTAAAAAACCCAAACAAACCAAACAAACAAAACCCTGCAGTTAGATAGATATCTATGAACCAGAAGAGTATTCCTAGGAAGCAAGGTGTAAGTATGTGCGTACAATATGCACAGAAGGCTTCATTTGCAGTCTTAAGGGCTAGAAATATAATTTCCAATCTCCTATCCATATCCTCCAATTTATATGAAAGCCCAAATTCTGCAACGTTTTTCTTTTTATTATTTTCAGTTCCCTCTTAATTATAGCTCTTTGTAACTAATTGAATGAAATATTTCTTGGACATAATTCACTAATGCATAATCTAATGGTAAAATTACTGGGTCATTTGAAATGTTGAATTAGTGGTTACTATGCTAGTAAGCTGTTACAAAAAACATATTTGAAAACATTATTGTATTGCTGTTGACAAATGACCAGTTTTCAGTGGATTGTGACATCATACACTGTTGCCTTGTAGTTACATTTTTAATTGCTATTCATTTAAGTATAATTTGTCTTATTGAAAACAATATAATTAACTAAAGTGTATTCTACCACATCGTAGCTTGAAATTTATAATGATGTGAAAAAAATATGAACTGTTAAAACTTACTGAGGAGGATACATACAGTAGGTATTTTCCCTGGAGACTACACTGTATGACAAGTTGATAATCTACATTTTCTACCCAGTCTGAGATTTTGTAAATAATATTGTAGTCTAGATACTGTCTCCTAGTTTCCTCTAGTGTTACTCATGTTGGGTAGAATTTTGTTTGGTGTTCCCATTGAAAGCATTGCTGTCCAGTTGTTGAAAACACTGTTGTCCAGCAGTGGTGATGCATAGGGACCCCCCCAGGTCAGCATGATCAGCCGCTGGGGGTATTCCCCCCCCCCCCCTCCCCCCGGTCAGTGAGATTGGCTGGGGGGGATTTCCCCAGTAGCTGACTGGTGTCTGGCACCAGTTGCCCATGATGTCCAGTAACATACTCAGTGCGGATGGGGCTTGCTTCAGCTACTCTTATCTTAGGTTCCATGTTTCTTCATCTCTTGCAGTAACCTCAGCATGCAAACAAACACCAGCACCACACTTCAGCATGAACTCCCACAGAAAGAGGATAAAGAAAAGTAACACAACCTCATAAGTGGTAGAACACTTGTCATAACACAGCTATTCCATCTCTTACTTCATAGTCCTTATCCTCAAAGGAATCATGGAAAGAGAAATCTGTAACTTTCTTGAATACCAAAAGCCATGGACTAAATAAAGGCATTGGCTCATTAATATATATCTTGTGCCTTTTCATCTACTGTCTTTTTTTTACTTCAGAGGTGATCACTGGCCACATTCTTATCATAGAAAAGTAGAGCTGGAAAGGACCTCAGGGCTAGGACAGAAGTTACACATAAACCAGTTTAAGTGATCAGAAACTGATTTAAACCTGTAACAGAACATAAGTTCAGTGCACGTAAACCAGGTTCAAAATGGCCACTACCAGTTTGAGATAAACCTGGTTGAATGTAGTATCAGACTTAACTGATTGAGCTCAAACCAGTTTACGGAACTTCTGTCTCAGACTCCTTCCTGGTTTAAGTTAAGCCAGAGTCCCCCAGCATCCTGGCATGCTCTGCAGCCCTGGACTCTGCTGTGTTGTCTACTCCAGTAGAGCAAGGCTGGCTCTGCCCCTCTGCTCCCTAGCTGGAGCAGGGGCGGGCAGGGGTGGGGGCATAAATAGATGCCGGCCCTACCTAAGGCAAAGGGGAAGAGGTTTATTTCTCCCTCCCTGCCCCAGCAGTGGCATCATGTGAATTGGCAAAGGAGGGGGTTTAATTCCTCCCTCCCTGTCCCACTGGCATGGACGCATGCCAGGATCCACCTGGTGCTCCCCCCTCGCTGCCACAATGGCAGGGGCGAGGGCATGGCCAGAGGCCGGCCAGCATGGCCTCCTTAGGCAAGGGTGCAGGAAGGGGGTATTATTTCCCCCTCCCTCTGGCATCTAGCAGAGGAAGCGGAGAGGGAGCTTATCCCACTGCTCGCCCCGCACAGGAAGTGACCAGAAAGAGGCAGCAGTCGGGTCTGGCAGACCCCGGCTGTGCTCCCCTGAGGGCAGAGGGAGCAGAGTGGAGAATAAACCCACTCCCTGCCCACTCTGTCTAAGGGGGCCATGCCGGCTGGCCTCTGGCTGCACCTCTGTTTATGCTGCTGCAGTGGCGAGGAGAGAGCGTCAGGCGAATCCTGGCTCCCATCCATGCCAGTGGGACAAGGAGGGGGGAGTTGAACCCCCTCCCTGGCTAGTTCACTTAAGGCTACTGCCAGGGTTAGCCATGCCCCCTAGGCATAGTTTCCCTGCAGCCAAGGGTGCTCTCTAGCACTTTCCAGCTTCTAGCCTGAGCCACTGCAGGCATGTGCCTGCATTTCCTAAGTTAAAAGTGAATGTCTATTCACTTGTAAATTGGTTCCATCTAGGCAGGTTAGACTAACCTAGCCCAGGAGGTCAACTAGTCCAATCTCCTGCTCAAGCCAGGATCATTGTGGGGCAGGGATGAGCTCTTTGCACTGAAGCAGGGCACAGAAAGCCTGCACTTAGCTCTGTACACAGGGAGAGTGGGGAGGATCAAACACTTCACTCCTCACACAGGGGCAAGCAGAGACTTGCATGAGCTTGTCTCCTTGCAGTGGAACTAGGCAGAGACAAGCCTGCGCTTACCTCCTTGCATAGGGACAGGCGAAGAAGAACAAGTGTTTACTTTTTTGAACCCTGTGGCACCCTTAAAAGAATCTTGGGGCTCCCCCAGGTCGTCAGTGACCGAATCTTGAAAATATGCAAACAACATTGTCATGCAGATGCAAATAACTCTGTTCAATAAGTAGTTAAATTTATTTTGTTTAAATAGATTAAACTAAAGCAGTTGTTCTGAGTTATACTTAGCTCGGACTGTGATTGCATCTTTCCTAAGCTTGGTGACAGATGGTTGGTAGCCTGAAAACTTGTCTCCTAATTCTTTCAACTATAGTATCTAATAGAAGATACTACAAATTTTACTTTCCCCCCATGTGCCCAAGTCATTTTTTGTAAATGGGTTGTGGAGTCTTAAGTTACTGATATATTTGAAAATGTGACCCCCGGTTTTTCTCTCTCTTGTGTAAATTAGTGCAAGTCTTAACAGTCCTTTATGCTGCTGATGTTCCAGTCAGTAAAGCGATGGAGTGATAGGGTTGTATCACTGTGACTGCAATGAGAATTTTCCCAAATATGATTCCTCAGTTTTACCATAAAATTATTCAAGGAGGAAAACCCACTTTCCTGGTTTATGGGAAAAAAAAAAAAAGATCGTATTATTCACACTTCTTTTACATTAAGTTGTCTTTTTCAGTATAATCACGGACATAACAATATACAGGTACTCCTCACTTAATGTCATCCCGGTTAACGTTGTTTCATTATCACGTCGCTGATCTATTAGAGAATGTACTCGTTTAAAGTTGTGCAATGTTCGGTTATAACGTTGTTTGGCCACTGCCTGCTACCAGATAACTACTGTGACTTAATTGGATTCGGATAACATCATTTCACTTAAGGTTGCATTTTTCAAGAAAGTAACTACGATGTTAAGCAAGGAGTAACTGTAGCTGCATTGATTATTGTATAATTATGACACAGTTCAGACTTAACTTGAAATAATTTCACTTATTTCTTGATCTGTTCCATGACATCTTTATTTCATCATAACTCCATATTACTCACTAGGATAAAATGTTATCATATGGTTTAACAAGTAATTAATTATAACTGATATTATTACTGTATTAAAAGAATAAAAGTCATAATGAAAGCTAATTAATCACTTTCTTTTACCTTTCTTCAGAGTACAAGAGAAAATGAGGTTAAGTAGTAAAAAGTAAAAAGTGATGCAAGAGATTTCATCAGCCGCCTGAACTGTTGGTCCTTTAATGTCATTCTGTTGGTGTAAGGGACTTTTGGTTCACCAGGCCTTTGTGTAAATAGAGGATAAATAATAATCATAACATTCTGATTTAATTTTGTGGGTATTATTTAAAAAAAATAACCTCCCACCCCCAAAAAACAGAACTCCAACTATGTGAGTTAAAACAATATGATGATACCCTTATCTCATAGACCACTGTTATTAAAACAGATGTAATATCTGCTAATAACTAAAATTGTTTAAAATAAAATGAGATTTATTCTGAACTTCAAAAGCTTAAACGTTTTATTTTTAACTTTAGACAATTGATTTAGATGGTTTTAAGCTGTTCATGAAGACCTTTCTGGAGGCAGAACTTCCTGATGATTTCAGTGAACATCTCTTTACCTCATTCAACAACAAAATCCCTCATTGCAGTCCTTCTGTTAAAAGCAAACCTCAACTCCTTTCAGGAGGTAAGTAGTGGAAGTCATATTAATGTAATGAATTATCTATTTTTTCCAAAAACATGTACATGGGGAAGTGTGCATATGGCAGTAAAATTGTGTTGTAAGACCAATAGATTCTAGGCAACTTAAAGAACATGTTTTATTCTAGACTCATTTTGTGATTTGACATTAATAGATTTGAGGGAAGTATGTCATTAACATTTTACTGAAGGTTGTGTTCCTTTATACAGACAGTGAAATGCTTGCAGAAATGAAATATTTTCATTTTACACTAGCAGACAAAACAGTAAGTGGACCAAGCTAGTATCATTTTAGTTACTAAGGTTACATAGCACTTCTGTCTACTTTGCAGCTTGTTTAGACACATAGGGAATCACAGTTTCTGTAAAAAGTCTCCCACTGTTTTTCTGAAGCTTTTCTTCTCAATTACTTCATTTCTTGTAATTGACTGACAATACTGCTGCTTTACCCATTCTTTACACTTAAGGTAGAACTAGATGTTGCTAATTAAAGCAGGTCATCTCTGTTGGGATCTGTTCTGGCACAGTTATCTACTTCACTGAGCAAAATGTACATCACCTGTTGTCCCAGCTGCTTGTGTTTTCCTGCCGTGAAGCAAATAGATGTCCACTGAAATAGTGGCACAAATTATTACTACCTTTTGTTGCAGCTACATCTGGGGGGTATGGGGAAGGTTAAATTGTATTAAAAACAGGCACCTGATATAAGGTAAGTTGGGCTGGGGGAGGCTAGCAGGGGAGTTAGGGGGTTGGTGGCAAGCAGGCCCTGAGTGGGGGGCTGGGAGTCTCTGGACAGGTCAGGGGCAAACAGGATCTGTGGGAGGATGGGGGAGAAGGTGGCATCCACGGGTGGGATAGGGGGCAGGTGGCATCCACAGGAGAGATTGGTAGGGCAGGCGGTGTCTGCATCCACAGGAGAGATTGGTAGGGCAGGCGGGGGCAGCAGAAGGATGGGGGGTCAGGCAGGATCCACAAGGGCATATGCAGGCAAGTGGTGTCCATGGGAGGATGGGGTGGCAAGTGGGGGTTGCTGGGGTCTGGGATATTTTGGTGGATCAGAGGGGTTTGGGGGGTCTACATGGGGGGCTTCGTGGGAGAGGGCAATGGGCTATTTTTAGCCCCCGGACTCCCCCTGCCCCAGAAAACCTCCCCCCACTGATACTTGCTCAGCTCCTGGCAGTGGTGAACAATGATAAATCTTGTGGCACTCAGAACAGCTTGTGGCATGGAGGGTTTGGGGTGGCTGGCTGGATTGCTGGGGGGCTAAAAGCCACCTGGTGTCAGTGGAGCGGGTAGGAAAAGCGCAGGCCCAGGGCTGGGGCCAGTGGCTGGATTTTCCCAGACATAAGGCTGTGCAGGTAACTGTACTGAAGTTCCATTCACTGGTCTAATTTAGATCGATTAAGTTTGAGTGTACATCAAGCTGTGTGTCTTAGACTAGTTTCGGCCATTTTTAGAACAGTCTATGGTCACGGAACGTTTGTTCCGTTACAGGTTTAAATTGATTTCTGATCACTGAGACTCGGTTTAAGCATAAGGTCCACAGTCCGGTGGCCAGTTTCAACCCAGTATAACCTTTCCCTAACCCTCATAAATGTCTGCACTTGGCCTATTTCACTTTGTGCTGCCATAAGCATGTTTATGGCGACACAAACGTAATGAAAGGCAATGTCTGTTTCTACCCTTCAGATAGTTAAGATAGTTGATACCTCTCAATCAATTTTTTTTCATGAAACCTAAGGCCCAAGTTTTAAGTGAAGAGGTGAAGGTTTCAGCACAATTTGCACTTTTTAATTAAATACAATTTATTGTGAAAGAAGAATTATTACTACCTTTTGTCACAATTTATTCTGAAAGAATAAATAACATCTTAAATTCTTTAAAATCAGGACCAGTAAGATTGTTACTAAAGCTTTGATGAAAATTTAGATTTTGTATAAAAAGATGTCTGAGAGATGCCTGTGAGACTCCATTGGCTGGAGTCTGGAGCTAGAAAAAAATTAGACTAGAAAAAAGGTGCACAATTTTTATAGTGAAGCTTATTAAACAAATGAAACAACATTCTTCCCTTGAAGTTTTTCAGTGAAAATAAGATACCTTTTAAAAGGTATGCTCTAGATTTTCTAGAAGTTATAGAAATACTAGCTGAAATTCTAGATCTTATGTGATAGAAAAGGTCAAGCTTTATGATCGTAATGGTCTCTTCTGGCTTTAAAATCTATGAATCCACAAAATTTAAGTTTGCAGTACTGGGATAGAAAACCAAATAAATCTGAATCCAAATGAAATGACCTGTCCATACCCATATTTTAGTATGCAGAAGTAATTTTGAGGTTTTCTAATGAATCTGTATCCTGTAGCCTACAGTAGCAGGTATTTATTTTGTTTTGTAGGGGTTTTTTTATGACCCTTTGTGATCATTTTTGTAGTGGGTACCAAGGTTTATTTTCTATTACACATGCATTAATAAGACATTTCACCTTTTTTGCTCATTGTCCTTTGTTTTTAGATCCCTTTCTAAAATGACACCTGTTTCTACAGAGCCTAATACAATGTGACAGCTGAAGGGGAGGGCAGAGGGAAGGGTTGTGGCAAGGCAGATCAAGGCCCCCGCTGTGAGGGAGTGGGGCTGGGGCAGGCACTGCCAAGCTGGGGCGGGGCGGGGTGTGAGATGGATCCACGATTCATCTGGGGGGCACGGGATGGGGACAGCTCCCACTACTGTACGCACCTTGGGAGGGCATGGGTGGGATGGGCTGCAGCTGGGGCTCTGTCCGGCTTTTCCCAGTGGCCAGGCTGTGCTTGGGGTGGGTGGCAGCGGCGCTGGGAGGAGCAGTTGGGGGGCTACAGTGAATTTTGGGGTGACTGAAACCCCTCTGTTGCCCCCCTCCTAGTGCTGCTGCCATGTGCCCTGAGTGCAGCCCAGCCCCCAGTGAGCAGCAACGGGAGCCTCCCCTCTCCCTGCATCCCCTGGACAAGCCACAGCTCTATCCTGTGCCGTGCCCCACCCCAGCTAGGCAGTGCCTGCCCCAGCCCCACTTCTCCCTCAGTGCAGAGGTCTTGATCTACCCCCACCAAACTCCTTCCCTCCCTCCTCCCCTTCTACCACAACAGACTTAGCAGCTGGAGGCAGCTCCTCAAGCTGCAGGGCTGCCTATAAGAAATTGGATTGGTATCGGCTGATATGCCTCCTTAAAATTTGTCTATCGGTATCGGCCCCCAAAATCTCTATTGGTACATCCCTAACAAATGCTGTCAGTTATAGTTGTATGGCTTACCTGTTGATTATCCATTGTTATTCTGCCCAGTTATTGTGTTGTTATTGCCTGTGATTCAGAAACAAGTGTAAGTGAGCAGGACTCAACCAATATTTTAGCTCCTTTTCCATTTTTGTAGACAGAATACAATAATTTACTTTACCTTCATGCTTCTAAATTCATTCTTTTCATAACAAGTGACAGTATAAAATAACTGTTTACACAGCTTGTTAGGTGCTTTGGCTTGCCTTTTTATGTAATTTTTTTTAATGTAAATTGACTTTTATATCAGACTCCAAGGAATGTTAGACTGGACTTCTTCATTTGCTGAAAAATAGTTGTTCCTTAACAGATCAGATTTATCACCTTATTTATTAATCTTTTATGCGACTTTGTTATCAGTTTCAATCCTGAAAGTTATCTGCATGGGCAGAACTTTGCTTCTGTGTAAAGCTATATTCAGTCACCTGGGATTCCATAGACGTAAGAAGGCGATAAACAGACATTACCTTTGTCACAGGACTAGTTGTGCTGTGGCTTGTCCTGCAGTGGAGGACTTGTGGGATTGGTCTGTCCATACGTTGTCCTTCAAAGCAGGTTTAAAAAGGGCTGAATGCACTGCTGCTCTTCGACCTGCAGATGGCCTGAGAGAGCTTGCATGCTAGCATGCCTGGTCAAGTGTCTAGGTTTCTGACTCTGCCAGCAGTGTGTAAAATGCCTATTGGTTGTGCAAACTGTGGGTGAGTGGCAGAATTTGTGTGGGAGGGGTTTTGGTGCGATTTGTTTCACAGTTCAGGTTCCTTATCACCTGCCTGAATTTCCACTCGGTTTATGCTGCCTTGCTCCGTTTTGCTCCATTTTGCTCCATTTGTTGCCTGCCACCACTGATCATGACCCAGAGCTTCTAGCACCATTGTCCATTATGGATTTGTATGTGCAGACCTTGCTGACATAGTATTGTGACCTTGTGAGGGAGGTTGAGTGGAAAAGGTGATGTTGGCAGGCTCTGATGTAAACTCTGACTACCTTTATGGGCACCAAGAATGATGGAGAAGCATCTGAGGGAGAAGAGTCTCGTGTGTGTGCTCACTGCCAAAAAATGGAGGGTCCACATTTATATTTAGATTCTACTCTGTGTCAGCCGCTGTTGCTCTGAAGATCTTTTGGTTGCAGGTTAGCATATTGTGGCCAATGTGGGAGCAGCTCAAAACTGTGGAGTGGGGTTTTTGAGACAGGGAGATGAGCAGTGACTAGTGGAAGCAGATCAGCATGGCCACCTGTGACAATAGACAGCAGCATGCACACTTTTTCTAATCAGGGACCCTGCCTACCCACTGTTCACATGGCTGATAAAGCTGTTGACTGGATGCCTAGAAGGAACAGTTCACCTATCAGCTCAGCAGCTGCAGGATGGTTGTGGAGTGTGGTTTTCAGCAACCCAAGGCTTGCTGGAGGTGCCTGAGGACTTGCACAGATGCCATCAAGAGCAATGTATCCTGATTTGTGATCTCTCCAAGGATGTTGTGCAAGATACTCAAGGGCAAGAGGAAACCCCTACCCCAGCGAGTCAGTGCAGGGCAGGTGCTGGCTCCTACAAGTGCTGTTCTTACAAATACTCGAATGGAATCCAGTTGTCTGGCGCTGTCTGATCAAGATGTGCAGGCTCATCACTTCTGCAGATTCCAGGTTGAAGGTAGTAAATCGTAAAATGATGAGAGCTGGGTCTGTGGGGGTAAATGTTCAGCTTGGTGCTGATTTTGTGTTTTTGGGGATGTGGGGCAGAGAGGGGGAGGGTAGCGTTGAGAACTTGGGCTGAGAGACCAGAAACTTATCTTGAGCTCTGGGTGTGAGGCCAGGTTACAAGGTTCCTATTTCTTTGCAATTCCACTATTGTATTTTTGATAGGGGGATTGATGCAGTATTAAGTGGGCAATTAATTTAAACAGTATAAATAACTGCCTAACTGAAGTGGGACAGACACACATTGATAGTTAAAGATGGCATAGTGACCCTTAAAGATGCATTCCTAAAAACACAATGCCAGTCCCCTGTGCAAAGGAGTGGGGGTGTAGATAGATAGAGAAGGAGGAATGCCTTGCAGCTCTTTGTGCACACTTCATTCTTGCCTAGTTTGTTTAAACACTACAGCTATAATTCTGACAACAGGCAGAACTTTTTATTAAACAGAACAACGGAAAAGTGACAATGGGTGAACAAATGTAAGAAGTAAATAGATGCAGTGTTAAAAAAAAAAAAAGGAACCACTCTGGTGATAGCATCTCCCTCCAGGAGCAGTCCCACTTGTAGGTTAAATTGCTGGGCAACGCAGAGAGCACCAATGCTGCCCTCTTTCTGTATATTCACAGCAGATGTGAGGTAATCCGTGGGTTCCTGCTCAGCCCTCACAGACTCCCTGAGCATCTCCTCTATGCACTCAGTAATGGCTGTGTAGCACTCTTTGGCCCCTGCATGCCTCCTAGAAAGACATGTAGTAGCATTCCATTGGATCCTTGATCATGGGATCAAGGAGTAAAAGGCTGCTCTCACATGCCTGATCATGGCTAAGTACGCTCTCTCCTCCTCCCTCCATTGTCTATCCTTCATGACCCAAGAGCTGCTAAACTCCTCTGTAGAAGCCGGCATGTCCTTCTTTGTGGAGGCTTGAGTCTTCCTCTGCTTTGCTGCTTTCTGGACACCAGTCTCTGACCACATCTTTGGCCAGTTACCCCATCAATAGTATCATTGCTACCATTTGCAGGTGTCTGGGCTGAAAGTTGGAGGATGAACAGTAGTTCATTGTTTTCCTTACTGTTGCCCTAATGGCATGAAGAACTTCCAACAAATTTGCGCATTTCAAAGGTTCTTTTGCCTGGTAGGCTCTCCATATAGTAAGTATGCTGTCCTCTTTGCTTCCTAGGAACCCAGGAAAATAGGAGACTTGCTTGGGCATCCACATGGCAAATAACTATGAGGTACAGCCAGTGCCCCTAACTTAAAGGAGGCTGAAATACAGGTGGGCCCATTTAAGGGGCAGGGGTGGTCTGCTGAGTGTGGTCTATTGCCTTGGGACCCCCTAATGCTCCTTAGCTATAACCATAGGACTCAGCTATGATGGCTGATGTCATTCCGATCCACGTGACCCTGAAGTGGAGATTTCACCCTGTCATTGCTGCACAGCACAGTCAAGCCATTTTTATATGCCTCTTTCTAAAAGTGATAGTGGCCCCTGATGACTTCAGCTCATGGAGAGGGCAAACATGTTACACGTACACAATACCAATTCTACTAATCACCCACTTTGCCTAAAATGGTACCTTTTAGCACAGCACACTCGCATGTAGGGAAGGAGGAATGGGGGAGGAAAGCACAGCCATGCAGTTCCAGTGAAGTCCCAAACTGCAGTTCTTCAAACCCCAAACAGTGCAACTCCAACTATAACAGTTGCCTGCCACATACCATTCCTTGAATCTGTCTTGTTGTAGGCTGGGTCTTCCGGGGCATTGATTCCATGGTGGGAGATGGATCGCTAGGATGTTGAAGATGGGGGGTGGGGCAGGAAGCTGTTCTTGTTCAAGTCTGGGTCCATTTCAAAGCCAGCTCAGCTTTGTCAGATGGCCAGCAAGCCTGCCTAATTCAACAGACTCGGCTGGAAGTCTCTGATCTGACTCAATGGCCCTGCATTAGTGTGTAAATTCTGCATGTCTTTGAGCACAGTTCTGGGCAGCCATGTGGGCCACTATGTCTACCACCTTTTCAGACATGGTAACCTCATTGACTGTGAAGATGCGGTGGCTGTCCCACATCCGTGCAAACTGCTGCCTCAGTACCTTGCACTTGGACTGTCATTGATCCACATCATGGTCTTGTCCTAGGCTACTATTTCCTTGGTGATCCATTGAGATTGCCCTGCTTTGGTGATTTGAACACAGCGCCTGCTAATTCTCAGTCTCACCCCAGATAGTGATGAGATCTGCTACCTCCTCTGTGTTCTAGTTTCTAGCATACTTGTTCAGGGCACTTGATTCATCAGACTGATGGGCTAGGGTGAAAAGAGGATGGTTGGGTGTGTGGGGTGGATGCCTTGGATAGATCTGATGGGTCCTGGAGGTTCCCAGTGGTTGCTTAGTGGAAACAGTCTTTGACGCCTGTCTTGGATGTGTAGCAAGCTTGAAATGGTTGGCAGGTTGCTGTGCAGAGCAATTAAAAGTTAGGTACAGCCACCACGGCTTGGCATTTTTAGGCAGTATAGTTCTGTGGTTGTGGCCAGAGCAACTGGGCAGGCTTCAACAGGGGCCAGGATTGGAGTCAAATTGGTGCATTGTAGGATACCTGGAGGACTGACTGATCTGTCAGCCTCATGAGAATATCGCAAGGCAACCATTCATGTCCATCATGATAGCGGATCCCCAAACGCTTTTGGAGATTTATCCTATGACAAGCAGCAAGGGCATCTAAATGCTCGTGTTTTGTCCTCCAAAAAAACATTTTCTCCTGTAATGAGGGCAACAAAAATGTTTCAAGGGCTGCAGCACATGACTTATGAAGAGAAGCTGAGGGAAATGGGCTTATTTAGTCTAGAGAAGGGAAGACTGAGGAGACTTAATAGCTTTCAACTACCTGAAGGGTGGTTCCACAGAGGATGGAGCTAGACTGTTGTCAATGGTGGCAGATGATAGAGCAAGTAGCAACAAGGGAAGTTTAGGTTAGATATTAGGAAAAACTTTCTCACTAGGAGGGTGGTAAAGCACTGGAACAGAGGTTGTGGAATCTCCATCCTTGGAGGTTTTGAAGACCCAGCTAGACAAAGCCTTGTCTGGGATGATCTACTTGGGGATGGTCCTGCTTTGAGCAGGGGGTTGGATTAGATGACATCCTGAGGTCCCTTTCAACCCTAATTTTCTATGATTCTGTTCATTTTTAGAATGTCCTGGTTTTCAGATGTAGAATAGCTCAAACCAATTGAGGTAATAATTGAAAGGGAAAGATTTTTGTGGATGATTCTTTTATTGGACCAACTGTATGGTTAGGATAGATTTAAACACATTTTCACATTCCATTGGGAGGCCATTTGAATGTTAAGGGAGCAATCCTGGTATTTAAAAGTTTATCTGGCTCTATCCAAACCTTGTAGTTGGTCCAACAACAGATATTGACCACAAAAATCCTTGCCTCTTGCATATTTACTGGACCATAATGGTTACATCAGTTCAACACTACCATTGGATTATAATAATTTTTAGAGCTATTATACTTGGGAGTACACCAGCTCTAATTGTTCTTTTATTTACTTGACTACTACCCTTTTATATTCACTAATTGCATAAAAGATTGTTGTGGGTACAAACCTGATGTAAATGAATTCTTCATGCCAAAATACTATGTATTTATGCAAAGGCATTACCTCCTCACCTTGCCCTTTTTAGAAGTCCCATTGAAATAAATGTGGAAGCAAGATGAACATAGTAGAAATTAGGAATTGGTTTCCATTGGATAGAATAATGTGAGAGAGAAATTAAGTGTGCAGGTTATCAACAAACAGCCTGTTCTAAATTAATTATTGAAAGAGTTGAGGAACAGTTAATCCTTTTGTAAATATTCTTTTTTGATGCTGTCAAGGTCAAGGAGAGACATAGTCCGCTTCCATGCTCAGAAACTTCTATGATTTTTCTTTCTGTCATTCTTTATGTTAGGAACTGATCCTACAAATTCTCAGGCAGTAGTCATCTCACCAGCTTCCGATTAAAGTACAAAGATTAATGGAGCTGAAATGTATGTTCTATTTAGTGTATCAGCAATATTCTTGCTCATAAGCAATGTTGTTGCACATTATTTTCATAGTGACCTTTAGCAGGGATGGTTATGGCTTAGTTGTGCTTCTGGCACATATCTTTGGCAAAGGGATATATTTTGATTCCATTAAATAATAAAAACATCTTTAAACAAGGAGCAGCTGCTGACAGGACATTGTATCGGAAACCCATGTAACTTCTGCAGACCTGCTGGAAAGGTTGCTGCATTGGGATGGGGTTATTTCAGTGCATTAAATAATAAATAATTAGATACACTAATGAAACGATATTCAAGAAAACTGCTGCACTTTCAAATGCAATTTAACACCTGAATGACTACAAATTATATGAATTCTGCCTTTTTACTTTATTTGTTTCCCACTGCTTTACTTTTATTTCAGCTCTTTAAAAATGAAAAAAACAAATGTTTAAACCATGGTTTTATTTCTTTATGTAGATATTAATTGAATTCCAGTAGGTTTTAAGGACTGTAACTTTGTATTTGTGTGAGAGAGCCCTGGTTTTTATTCTTTCCTTGTGTCACTGATAAAGCAAATACATAGTAAAGCATATTTATTATTTTCAGGTCTGAGAATTACTAAAAGTACTGCTACATCCCGACCTCCTACTTCTGCCAACTTAAACTTACCAGATGTGATCCAGTTGAAAGACATTGTTTGCTATTTGTCTCTGCTGGAAAGGGGAAGACCTGAAGACAAACTAGAATGTAAGTATACTTTTTTCCATGTATTTGCTGAAAATACCGTGACATCTATGGAAATTTAAAATGTTAAACATGATAATTTGTTAATAGATAATTAACACACTCTTAATAAGCTATTGGTTTACATTTCCATTGTATAAACCTGTGAACTACTGGGTCTTGCAGATGTTGTAAAAGAGACATTTCTGATTCTATATTTAAGAGCCAATACTCTGGTAAAAGTTGATGCTTAAAAAATGATACGGTGAAGTTCTGCAATTATTGTGTCTTGCTGATTTCCATATCAAATTTGCTCATTGAGTTGAAAGATTTTTGTCCCCTTCTTTCCAACTTTTATTTGGTCTCTTTCATGCAAACTGAGTTATTTCCAATTTGTACAATATTGCTAGTAATATAGGGTCTGTGATCTAAATGTACTTATTTAAATGTATCTCACTAACCCCATCATATACAGTTTTTTCTACAGTCGTGGGTATGAAAGATCACTTAGAGATAATAAAGATGTACAGGCATAACTGATAACATAAGGGAATGTGCAACTATACTAGAGATATTGTAATGAAACACTTAGTAGGTTTGTTGCAGAAATGTAGACACCGGGCTCTATCTACTGGAAGTTTAGCTTCACTACAAGATGACATGTCCCAGCCTTCTTAAACCCTCTTTATGTTTCCTTACCTAGCTTATAACTATGGTATCCAAGTTCCTAGATCTGATAGTGTGAGGTGATTGGGAGTTTTACCTGAGCAAGGACTTCAGGATTTGGCCTCAGAATTACTGATACTGGACGCCTGGTATCATATAAGTGCTCCTAAATTCTATTGCTGATTTGTGTCTAGAACTAGGAAAAACTGAGCTTCTAGGACCAATTCCCATTGAACAGCATTTCTCACCCCATAGGTTGCGACCTGAAAGCGGGTCACAAAAATAAATAAAAGGGTTGCGAACAGTCTTGGAAAAACATGGAAAATCACAGATTTTCTCCTTTAAAAGTGGGTTTCCCCTTGCAGGCTGGCAGAGTTCCAGTCCACAAGGGGTTGCTTAGGGCTGCAAGAAGTGAGAGGAGAGTGATGATCAGGCAGGGAGTGTTATGTGCATGTGCAAGTGCACACATGCACATGACAGCCAAGCAGTATGGAGAGCAGCTCCCCATAGGTATGTCAGTGGGGTGAGGGATAGGAGGGGGGCATAGATAATGCATTGTGGGGCATGTGCTCCCCCCCCTCCCCCCGGTGCCCCAGATTTGTGTGCCTATGGCAGGCATGGGGCTATAGCCTGGCTGGACCAGCACAGGCAGGAGCTTCATCCATGTCCCAGTGTGCAGGACCCAGTGCAGGAGGGCAGAGTAGAGTGGCATGACTTCATGAGGAGTAATGGATGAGGGTGAGGAGTCTCTTTGCCTTCACCTCCTCCCACCACCATTGCTCTCCTCAGGCTTTGGCTCTATCCCAGAGGGCTGGTGAAGTGAGCATCAACGACCAGACCATGGCAGAAGGGTAGAGCCACAGGCTATTGCACAAGGAGCTGACAGCAGGAGGTGAGGGCAACATGGTTCCCCATCCTCATCCTTTACTCCTTGTGCTGCTGGTGGCATGGCTGGCACAGGGGTCCTGGAGACGGCAGTGACAGCAGCGAGTCTCAGTGTGTCACTCTGTCCCATCCACTGGGCTGTGGAGGCAGCTCCTGCCTGTACTGGTTTGGCTAGGCTGATGCCCTGGGCCTGCTGTGGGCTTACTCCCCCACCCCCCACCATCCCACATGCCCGTCCTCTGCCCCACACACTGTAGGGCTGGGCCCTGGAGATGGGGGGCAGCGAGTCAGGAGTGAAGGACACCAGCTGTTTGGGAGGGTGGAGGGCTGTGGGTTGGGACTGATGGGCACCAGCAAAGCTATGGGGCTGAGAGTTGGGAGTGAGGGGCACTGGCAATTTGCAATGTGCAAATTGCACACTGATGAATATCACTTGGGAGTAATGTAGGGCGACATGTTGATATTGCTGTTAATGTTTTCCTGTTGATGTTGATTTCTGTCTTCAAAATTAAGACGGTTGATCAACTTTAACTCAGAGTGTAATAAGTATTTTGGGGCCAAAATACTTCTGTGTTTTCTATTTAAACAATGTCCTGTATCAGGACTGGCCATCAATGTTTATAAATGGATTCTGGTACAAAAAAGATTGAGAACCACTACCATAGAAAATATATGGAAGATGTCCTGCTGGCTGACTATATAAACTACTCCAGAGTTTTAAAGCGAGAACATAGTCTTCAGATCTACTTGTGGAACAATGGTCAGCTGCATCTCTTGAGCACCAGGGGATGTGGACTGAGAGGCCAGAGTGGAGTTAGTAAGGGGATGCAGCTCTTCCTTCTGGTCCCTTGGGTTAGAGAAAGAAGTTACACATAAACTGATTGAAGTGATCAGAAACTGGTTTAAACCTGTAATAGAACATAAGTTCAGTGCACATAAAACAGTTTCAAAATGGCCGAAACTGGTTGAAGATAAACCCGGTTGAATGTAGTATCAGACTTAACTGATTTGGGTCTAACCAGTTTATGCAACTTCTGTCTCAGACTGCTTTCTGGTTTAAGTTAAACCAGAGTCCCCCACCATCCCAGTATACTTTTCAGCCCTGGGATGGGCTATGCTGTCTTCTCTAGAGAGCAGAGTTGGGTCTACCCCTCTGCTCCCTAACCAGAGCAGGGGTGGGGCATGTCCAGATATCAGCCAGTGTGCCCTCCTGAGGCAAAGGGAGCAGGGAGGGGGCTGATTCTTCACTCTCTCCTCTCCCACTGAGGAACTGCAGCTCAGGTCTGCCTGGCTGGGGTGTAGAGGCCCCTGTCAGTCCCCCCTCCCCCCTTTCCTTAGCCTGAAGCAAATTGAGAGAGGGAGGGATTCCCCCCAGCTGCCTGTGCCCAGGCTGGGCAGGGCTGTCATGGAGCCAGGCCATCCCACCAGCTGTGTCTCCGTGACAGCCCAGCCTGGCAGCACGGGTAGGGGCTGGCCAGGTAGTGGGATGCCTGGGTGGCTTGGAGGTGCTGGCAAGCCCCAAGCCCGGCAGCCACTCGCCACAGCTGCCGATGCAGCACCCGGTGGTTGCAGCTGCATCACAAGCTGTGCACTGGCCTGGTGGGCTGTTCTTCCTCCCTTGCCTCCAGTTGCCACGGCCGCCCCTGTTTCTGCCACACCATGCCACTCTGGATGGGTGGTCAAGAAGCTTCAGCCCAGAGGCTTCTGTCCAGCACGTGGAGCTCTGGCTCCAGCTTCAGCTGCCCTCCACTTGCTATGTACACTCGCAGGGCCTGCTCATCATGCTGGGTGGGTGGAGGGGATGGATGGCAGCCAGAACTGGAGCCCGAGCTCCTTGCACTGGGTAGAAGACACAGGGCAGAAGGTCCCCCCTACCCTAAGTGGTGCAGCACAGGGCAGCGGGAGCAGGAACCATAGCTGGAGTTGAGGGGAGCAGAACAGACCTGCTGGGCCATGCCAGCTTCCCCTCACCTCCAGCGGCTACTCCTCCTCCCACTCCTGCCCCTACTGTGCTGCTGCAGGTGGTGGGGGTGTGGAGAGAGCTCCAGACCCACAGCTTGAGCCCAGTGCATGGAGCTCCAGCTGCCTTCCACTCGCTTCACCTGCCTGGCATGATGAGCTGCCCCTGCGGATGGGCGGAGCAGGTGGAAGGCAGCTGAGAGCTGGAGCCGCTGGAGGTGAGGGGAAACCGGCTTGGCCCAGCAGAGTTGTTCTGCTCCCCTCACCTCCAACTGTAGCTCCTGTTCCTACCACCCTGCACAGCACTGCTTGGGGCAGGGAGAGGTTCAGCCCTGTAGTTTCTGGCCAGAGCATGAAGCTCTGGTTCCAGCTCTGGCTGCTTGCATCCCCTCCGTCCACCTAACACGATGAGCAGTCCCTGCGGGCAGGCACAGTGGGTGGAAGGTGGCTGGAGGTGGAACCAGAGCTCCATGTGATGGGCAGAAGCCACTGGGCTGAAGCTTCCCACCCACCCATCCAGAGCAGCATAGTGCAGCAGGGGCAGGGGTAGCAGCAGCAGCTGGAGGTGAAGGGGGCAGAACAGCCCACCTGGCCCTGGCTAGTGCACAACTTGTGATGCAGCTGCTGGGTGTTTCACAGGGCAGGGGATGTGGTGGTGGCTGTGGTGGGCAGCTGCCATGGTTGGGACCCACCAGTGCCTCTGAGCCACCTGGGCAGCCCACTACTCAGGCAACCCCCACCTGTGTTGCCAGGCTGGGCTTTCACAGAGCTTCAGCTGCTGGGAGGGGCCTGGCCCCCTTGGCTCAGCCCCTCCTGGCCCCTCTGCCTCCACTCTCAGCAGCACCTGCAAGCTGTCTCAGCTCAGCCCACAGCTCTGCATCTGCAGCCCCAGCCCTGGGTAAATAGCAGGGACATGCTGGCCAACTCTGGCCAGAACCCCTGCCACCCAAGCATGAGCAGGAGGGAAAGTGGCTGCTGCCGAAGGGAAGGGAGGATTGCTCTAGTGCAGGGGTGGGCAATTATTTCAGGTGGAGGGACGCTTACTGAGTTTTGGCAAGCCATCGAGGGCCGCATGACAGGCAGCCAGGGGCAGATAAATATTAATTTTCTAAATTTTTTAGGGGTCCCGTGGGCTGGTTAGAATGGCCCTGGCGGGCCGCATTTTGCCCACCCCTGCTCTAGCGCCACCCCCCTCCTGCCTCTGGCTTCTAGTCTGAGTTACTGCAGGCTGCATTTCAAAAATCAATAGTGAATGTCTGTTCACTTGCAAAGACTGAATTAATTTAGGCTCTGGTTTTTTGAATTTCTGTCCCTAGCCTTAGAGAGATTTCAGAAAAGAAGAAGCGAGTAAACATCAGAGAGAGAAACATGAAGTCAGTCTTGAGTGCTCTTGACCCAGCATATTTGAGGAAAAGGAGACATACTATTTTCATATACAGTTTAGAAAAAGGGATTCTTGGAGATGAATAGATATAGGAAGAATATAATAATCAATAGATGTTTTAATATATGGTCAGTAATTTATCACAGATTGATATAGAATCCATCAGGTCAAAGGGTTGTTTATAACCATGTTTATAAGCCTTTTTACTTACATCCTTAAAACAGTCTTTAACACTACAAATCCTATTTGTGACATTCTTAAAATAAAACCATCCTCCTCCATATTTTTTGTAATAGATGCCAAGTCTCCTGTATCTTTGTCTATGCTATGGTTCTGGATATTCATTTGTGGCTGTAGGAGCTGTGAGGATGTATATCAGCTTCCACAGCACCATTCAGGGTAGTCTTTCCAGAAATTGTTCTGTGGTACATTGCAGGACAGTTGGTCTTTGCTTAATTGCCCCCAAACTGAAATGTACTTTGTTGCAGTGTTAAAGAAACATGGATCCATTAGAGGAGTTCCTTCTTTTGTGGTCCAAGAGTTTGTGACAGTTAAGACAAATACTAGAAAGAAAACTGCAAAAGTCACTGCATGTGTACAACATGATAGAAACAGCCAGGCCAGGTACTGTGCAGGGCTCTTAAGCAGGTCAGGTACTTGTTCAGAAGCTTGCACAAGAGACTGTGGACATGCTAAGAGTTCCTGGTTCTTCTCCCTCTTCAAGGTCTCCTTCCAGAACCTCTCTGGATTTCTCAGTTCCTGTTCATCCCAGGCCAGCAATGGTGTCCTGAATTCAAGTGCCTTTCTTTGTATTTCTGAAATGAAGGTGTCCACACCTGCCTGCCTTTTGCCCTTTGAAGCAACGTTCATGTGCCCAGGCTCCTGGGCAGGGTGCTTTGGCATTTGAAACTTAAAGTATGTGTGGTGGAAGAGGGAGAGAGTTTACTTAGTATTTCCTCAAAGAAAGCAAGATTTTTTTTTCCATGATTCACTCCTTTATTACTAAGCCAATTTGCAGTTTTTATCATTTCTGGTGTTCCTCCCCTCAATTTTGAGATGGGGTAGCAGGTGAGAGTTGTGTAAAACACCAACTAATCACAAAGTGGTAAGTTCTTTATCTGTTCTAATTAGTTTAAAAAAAAAAAACCCAAGACATCTGTCCATCGTGCTTGTCTGTTTAGGTTGGGGAAGAGGATGAAAAGGAACTTCTCTTACCAATCTAAGTTCTCTGGCTTTTTTTTTGCTTTTTTTTCTCAGGCTGGGACGAACTATCTAAGACATGAACATTGTGGAGGTTTCTTAGTGGAAAAAAGAGATGACTCTCCAAACCAGGGAAAGTGTTCCTTCAAGGCATGTGAAGGAGATTTTTAGTAGCCAACTGGTCATATAACTTTTAAGTGAATAGAAGAGTCTTTACAGTTATGAAGGTAGAACAGCAAAATTTGCAGTAACGGACCCATGCTAAATGACCAACTAAAATTCCTGATGGATGACAAATTTGTCAGCCATATTTCCCAGGACTGGGTAGACATCAGGGAGATCATTGATAAGCTACTGAAGTAACCACTGCTTTCATGATAGCCATACATAAGCTACAGCACCCTCTACAGCAGAGCTTTCCAAACTTTTCATGTTGGTGACACACTTTTTAGACATGCATCATTTCGCGTGACAGTAATTCAGTTCCGGGGGAGGGGCCAAGGGAAGCAGACGCGAGTAAGGGAGCTCCGCGGTGCCCTTCCGCAAAATTTTCTGCATTTCACGCGACACACCTACACACTGCCGCCGACACACTAATGTGTCGCGGCACACAGTTTGGAAAGCTCTTCTCTACAGGGTTATGAGAGGAAGAACAAAATGGTTTGGGATTTTTCATTGGGGACTTCATTTATATTGGCAAAAACAGTGAAAACTCAACAGGACCATAAACATTATGCTTATATGGATCATAATACTTTATTAAACATCTCTGATCTTATGCAACAACTCCTGAAGGTTGTATGACCAAGGAATAATAGTTAGTATTGCTGAGGCAGTGCAGAAAGGCATTCATCATTTTGTTTGTCTTATTTTTTTTTCTTCCCAGTACTCAGCTGTTCTCTAGGAAGCATGGACCACAGAGTGTGGGATTAGGGAGAACGTACCCTTGTATAAATACCATATGTGGTTTCAGCCATAAAAAAACCTGACCTCACCCCCATGGAAACCAAAATCTGCTCCAACTTTACCCTCTTTATTCATCTATCAGGAACTCCCATTCCTTTTCTGCTGAAACATATAGAGGTGGTGGGCAGCATTTATTGGTCCAAAGATTATTTTTCTTTGGTTGTACTTCTGCAGGCCATTCCTGGGTAGGTACTCAGGTGAATCTCCTGGGGTTTTCAGGGGAAAAACTTGTTGAGTAGGCCTTTCTAGGTTCACAGTGGCTTGAGTCTCCATAATTTCAGTTTGACCTTAGAACCTCTCTGCAAGAGGCTTCCCTCCCCCTTCCTCCCTGAAAACCAGCTCCCCCAGGAGAAGAATGGGGTTGTAGAAGGTTGCAGGTCTGATGTGCAGAGCACTGGCAAACACATTTTTGAGCTCTTTGAAAAAGGGGCAAGAAGGTCCTTTACTGAACCTGTGGTTTGTGTCTTTTCCATTCTAAAAACAGTACTTTAGGTGTTTGGTATATTCCTTGCACTGCAACCTGGCCCAATGAATGCTTAAGTTGAGCATGTTCCCTTTAACATGATATTTCAGGAGTGGATATTCCTCTAACTGTAGTTGAAATTGTGGTTTTTAGTGTATCTCCTCCAGATAGTAACCAAAGTTCAACTACACTTTTCCAGCTAGTTAACTGAACATCAGGAACACATTCTCAGATTGGGAAAACAGGCCAAGCTGGCCATCTGAAGCAGCAGCATATGTGGAAAGTGAAGGGTTAAACACTCCACAGCTTCCAATTGATAGTGGAGGAAAAGGAGGTGTACAGAAGGGCTGGAAGACACAGGGACAGGGAATTGTGGTAACATTGGTGAAGGACTGCCTGTATTCAGGTTCCATAACTCTTGATTATGCTGTAACCTCATTGCCCATTGGTTGTGCACAGAGGTGAATAGTAACTTGAGTAGGTCCCGTGGGCTCAAGCTGTACTTGTCCTGAGAAATGCGCTTTCAGACTGTAGACAGATGTAACACTAAATCATTTTAAAAGGGGGCATATTGTGGGAGATACCATGTGGGAGCTTTTTTCAGCTGAACTGATGTAACTCTTCCATCTGTTGCCACCTATACCAGTATATTGCAGCTTAAAATGATGTAATGTTAAAACTGAATAGAACAGATCAGTTTACCATCTACTTAAAGCAGACAGAGAAAGCACCTAAATCTAATTTTAATGACTTGGGAGTTCAGCAGTGTATAGACCGTGTTTCATTTACATTGCTCAAAATTTTTAGCATCGCTGAAATTTTATAGGTATGTCATTAGCTATTTATTTTTGTTGTAGATAGTTCTCCAAATTTTACATTGAGCTACATAGCCTCATTACAGAATGACAGTTTTACTTCTGTTTTGTGTTCAGCTCCAGTATTGTATACAACTCTCCAGTTGATGACATTGCTAGAAATTCAATAACTCAATAGGAAATCCCTTCTGGGAAGAGGAGAAGAATGCTATATTGATTACTTACATAATACTGAGTAGTCAGAAAAGAGATAGATGAATGAATGGGTGGGTGGGTGGGTGGGTGGATAGATGTTTAAATTAAACACTTAAAAAAAAAAAAAAAATTTTTTTTGGTTTGGAAATAAAACAATTTCCAAAACTATAAACCTGGAAAGTTTTGTCATTTCTAAAGTGAATCCAAGACTACTAAAGGATGAAAGCTTGAAGCCAAGCATATTTATGCATTACAACTCCAACTTAAGAGTAAATCTAAACTACAAATGAAAGTGGGATTGCAGTAAAGGCATGAAAATGTCCATCCGGTGATAAAAAGAGTCAACTAGCTACAAAGTCAGTGCTTAAAAATGTGTAACAACTTTATAAATGGTTTCTGTTCAGCTTTAATTTGAATGTGCGACAAGGCCGAAAGTTAATTATCTTGTCAAATGTTTTTTTCTGAATAGGAATGAACTTTTGTATTATGCTCAGGTGTCTTTGTAGAATTATGGAGAATCTGATCACTGGGGTGTTCTGAGAGAATATTACCATGATTTCAAAGAAACATCTAATATGTTTATTATGTGTAGCATTGTGAACTGAGTGAAACAAGAGACAATATGACTTTGTAAATTTGTTTACACATGCATTAAACAGATCTGTTAAGTGTTATAAATACATTCTGCGATTATATTTAGCTAATCAGTAAGCATTTGTAAACTGAATTGAAGTATTTGCAATAGGGGGCCAATAGATCATATGACTTAATGTAGGTGCGGTCATGATCCCAGGTTTAAGTTTTGCTCTGGAATTAACAATTTAAATGAAATAGTTTGGATCTTGGGGTTTTTTTCCCCTTAATATAATTTTTCTCTTCCTTCCTTTCTTTCTTTTTAGTTATGTTTCGCTTGTATGACACAGATGGAAATGGGTACCTGGACAGTTCGGTAATTTTATTTATAAATATTGATGTGGGTTTTTATGAAACTGCATTAACTGACACAGACAGCAAACTTTGGTGGCAATAATAGAAGTAATATAAAATATTCAATAAATACATGCATTAGGGGTGTGCAAAGTGGGCTGTATTTGATTTGGATTTGGATTCAGCCTGATTTGGGGGACACTGATTCGATTAATTGATTTAGATTATTGTCCCGATTCGATTCGGCCGAATCTGAAGATTCAGTGCTGGTTTGGAAAATCAGCGATTCAGCCATAGACACAGCTTTAAATATTTTTTTCTACATACCTTGAGTTACCAGGCATGGCTCGTGAACGCTGAAATGGTGGGGCAGATGGAGTAGTATGGGGGACCCCAACTGTGTTGGCTCCAGCAGTGTAAAAAGCTGCCCTGTCCTGGCCCCATCAGTACAAAAATCTGCCCTGGCAAGTAGCTCAGAGCTACTCACTCTAAGGAGCATCTGGGGCCCGGCTAATTGGTACCTGTGGACACTACCCCTTGTGCCAGCTGGACTGCTTAAGCAGCCCTGATAGTTCTTTGCACCCTCTAGCCCCTGCAACAGTCTGGCAGCGGGGGATGTTGCCTGGCTATGACCTGCTGCGCACCTGCCAGAGCTGGATGGGGACTGCACAGTTAGTAGAGGCATCTGCCCCTCTGGGCCAGCTGCCAGTGGGCTGTGGCTGCAGAGTTGGTCTTTGTGAGACACTGCTTCCATGTGTGCCCCTGCCCGGCCATCTGGGCAGCTATCTCCCAGCCAGTATGATGGCCTGCTTTGAACTTCAAAGCATGTCCTCCTGGCCCCAGTTGACCAGGAGGTCAGCTACCTCCAGCTGGGTCCAAGGTGCCAGCTCTGAGCAGGCTCCTCTGCCTGGGTCCTTACCTCCCTGGCAGGAATTCTGGTGTTCCCTATTGGAAAATTGAAAAATCCCTGATTAAAAAAACAAACAAACAAACAAAAAAAACCAGTCACTCAGTAAAATACTGTGAATCCATGTTCCTCCACAGTTGAAACAAAAGACCACTATATATAGAGAGAGAGAGAGAGCGAGCGAGCGAGCAATCAGTTGGGCAATGTTTTATTGATATATCTACAGTGTTAAAGCAATTTGGAAGCCAACCAGTATCTCTATCATCATAATAAAATGAATTCTAAATATCTATATGTTTTGCTGTTTGCCTTTGGTTTTCTTACCAAAGAGCAGTTAGAGCTCCCCCTGACCCCTTCTCTAACCAGGATGTGGGGACAGCTGCCCAGGCAGACACAGCTCCTGCAAGTAAATATCATCCTGTCTGGCAGCTGGACACATAGGGTGTGTGCTGGGGGAATGTGGGATTTGCAGAAGCAGGGGTGGGAAGAGGGTTGGGTGGATGTGGGTGGCTGTGGAGTGTGTGGGTAGGCGTGGGTGGATCGTAGAGGGACTGAGGGGAGGGCTGCTCCAGCCCCCTGGATTGCTGCCCTTCCTGGTCCCGTCCCCTGCCTGCTCCTGCAGTCCCCCCGATGGCTGCCCTGCCTGGCCCCACTCCCTGCTTCCACCCCCAGATCTCCCCAATGGCTGCCCCACTCAACCCTATACAGTACCTAGTCCCCCAGACCTCCTGATGGTGGCCCCACCTGGCCCTATCCCCCGCTTGCACCCTGAGACCTCCGATGACTGCCCTGCCTGGCCCCAGTCTCCTGGTACTTCAAAAAAAAAAAAAAAACAAAACCCCATGCTCACTGGCAGTAGCAGAGGCTATTGGGGTCACTGGGGCCTCCTGGCAGAGCGCCCCCACCCCAGCATGGGGCAGCGGGGACCGGCAGCCTAGTACCCACACTGCCACTGCCCCATTGTGTGGGTGCAGCCTAGGTCGGCAGGGTTTTGCATTGCTCCATGTACTGTTGGGCAGTTGGGGCCACTGCAGCTGTCACCCGGGACCCAGCACCACTCAGCCTGAGCGGCTTCACTGCTTGACAGTGCGCAGAGCTGTGCGGCGCCCTGCTGACCCTGTCCGCACCCACATGATTGGCAGCGGCATTGCGGGTGCCAGGTGGCCAGGGCTGGTTCCTGCTGCCCCATGCTGTGTGGGGGAGCTCTGCCAGGAGGCCTCAGTGACCCCATTGGCAGCTGCTACTGTTGGTGAGTGCAGGACTTTTTTTTTAATTGCCAGGATGTTGAGGCCGAGTGGAGCAACGATGTGGGTGCTGCAGGAACTGGTGGAGGATGGGACCAGGCAGGGCAGTGATCAGGATGGCTTGAGGGGCAGGTGTGAGATACGACTGGGTGGGGTAGTGATCTGGGGGGCTCAGGGAGCGGGTGGGGGATGGGGCCAGTGGGGGTCTCCAGCCCCCACCCCCACCTCCTACTTACCGGCATGGAGCCCGGGCCCAGCTCCCTGCAGCTGGCACGCTGCCTGCCCTGCACAGGTAGACAGTGTGCTTCAGCACTGGGGTGAGGACCAGCCAGGCTGGCCACCAAAGCATCTCTGCGGAAGACACAAGCCTCCGGTTGCCTCAGAGCACAGTCCTGGACCATGCCCTGCCCCGCTGTTTTTGCCCAGGGTATTTTTTGACCCCAGGGGTCTAATTTTGCCCCCACGTTGCAAATTTACAGCACAGGGAACATTTTTTATGTTCCCACACATGCCTCTTATAGCATCTCAAATGACTTTAAGACTCTGCAAGAGGCACGTGCACGCCCATCTGGACGCACTCTAAGAGTGCAGATCATGGATCTATTGTGCATTGGTCCTTGTCCTCCATATAGCTCATGAGGAGAGGATCCATCTAGTATTTGCACCCACAAACTATAGCATCTTCTCTGCAGCTACGTTTCTAACTGCACTGTATTCTGTGTCACTTACCTTTTCAGATGTTTTGCTGGTAGCCTGAAATTAGAAGTTTTCTAGTTGGAGAACGCTATGTTAATATAATTCAAATGAGAGGACCAATTTAAATGTGCCATTCATTTGAATTATAGAAAAATCAGCAATAGGTGCAGGTCCAAATGACAGAATAAATGAGGGTGCTTATTCCTGATGGAGAGGACAGTATGCACTAGGCAATTTAGCTTTACTTTTACTCAGAATAAAGACATTCTGTCTCTGAGTAAAATGTTACCTGTTGCAAAGTATCATCTCAAAATCACATCTGAAAGGCTGGATTTTACTAAAGATATTAATTATGACAGTATACTGAGTTAATAAAAATAACTTTCTAAAATCAACATTTTAAGTGCTAATCAATGCAAGGCTATCCATGAATTAACTGACTTCATTTATCCACAAGATTTTCTGTGCCTGTGTTCTCATGAATTTTTACAAGCAAAAAAAAACTTAAGCAAACAAAAAAAGGCTGGAGAGTATATTGATTTATCATACTTACGAGAGGCTGCCTCTGTAGTAGAAAATTGTAGGAATAGCAATTTCATTCTGATCCTTGTTTCCAGGGCTTGTTCACATTTTACATTAGACTGTCATTGGTTAAAAAATGGAAATAAACATGGCAACAAGGACTGGAACTCAAATACCACTTCTTCTAATTAAATTTCCTAATCTTTATGATACCAAAACATGTTTCCTCTTGTACTTTTGACTGCTGCAAGCCCAGTTTCAAGAGAAGTGGAGGGGTACCTCTACCCACTGCATTTTATAGCTGCAGTCTGGAAATTCTTTTGGGTGAATGCTGTACCCTTTAGAGTATTATTTAGGTGAAAGCTTGGGACACTTTTACATATGCTCCGGAGGTGGGGGGAGGGGCAGCACTTCAATTAGAGTGCTAATTAAAGTGCCACAATGCCTCATATATTAGCATCTCTGCACTTCAAAAAGGTGGTGAATGAGCCTTTAGTTCAAGTGCCCACCACAATTTTGAAGTGCAGAAAAGCTGATACACGAGACACAGGGAGGCTGCTGGACTAATTGGTTCCATGCTCACATATAGCTCCGTACTTCTATTGATGATCAAATGTTAGGCAAATAATTAATCATTGTGTAAGTATTTCTACCACGCACTTTAATGATTTATATTTAAATGATTGGTTTGTTAAAGTATACATTTAATATGTTCACACCCAGAAAAAAAATCACTCTAATACACCATTTGTTTCTATCAGCATAATTATCAAATAGGTATCTGAATTGCAAAGTGACCTACAAAAGATTTAGTTATAATATTGCATTAAAATGTCTTTGTTTCTTTTTTACTGCCCAGGAGCTGGAAAATATCATAACTCAAATGATGCATGTTGCAGAATATCTTGAATGGGATGTCACTGAACTCAGTCCAGTAAGCATTTTGCCAGATGAATGTTGATATTAAGTCTGGAAGATGTTGGGGACTGTTTTAAATCACTTTATAAATCTGTACATGATATATTAGTATATAAATAATACAAACTAATAATGGTTGGTTCTATGTGGGACTGCTGTATCATTCACTCGATCTCTTTTTCTAATGAGGATAGCAAACTACTGTGGTCATAATTATGAACCATAAAGTTTAAGGCCTTGTCCTTAAGGCATAAATCTATCACAAAAGCTGAAGGAGAATCAATTATGATTTGTTCTATATACTACACCTAGCTCAATTACATTTTATTGTCTTTGGGCAGTGCATCAATATTATATAAATAACAATAATTATAATATGACATTGGAAAGTCTTCTAATTCCCTATAATTTGGTTTTATTTTATTTATCATGTTTACCCAAAATGAAGATGACCCTGAATTTAAGACCAGCCCTGAAGAATTGTATTCCAAATATTGAAATTGTTATAATTTCCCATGTGTAGAATCAAATTATTGGAACAGCATCTTAAATTCATGCCCTCCAGCCACTGCAGCAGGGAATGCAGTGGCAGGGGGGAGGCAATAGGGGGACAGGCAGGGGCAGTTAGGGAATAGGCAGTAGGAGGGTGCAAATAGCAGAAGCAGCCTGTCAGGCAGCTTGCCCCCTGCTTTTGTTGACCCTCTGCAATTTGCCCTCTGCCGCCTGTCTCTCCTACCACTTACCTCCCTCCTTCCTGCCCCCACTGCCACATCTGACCCTCTTGTAGCTTCAGTCTTCCTATCTCCCTTACTCCACATCATCCCTTCCTGCAGCATCTGCCCCCTATCACCTGCCTCACCTTCCCATCTTCTCCAGCTTTGCTTGAGCTTGGAGCATAGAGCATGGAGCCACTACCCAGCCTGGTAGCAGCTGTAGCTGCGTGGCAGCTCCAGCCCTGGCTCCAGCCAGGACTGAAGCAAGGGTAAGCAGTAGGGTGAGGGTGAGTGAAGTGGAGGCAGGGAGCAGGGCAGAAGCTGTGGGGACAAGGGCAATGGGGGCAGAGGCAGTAGAGGCACAGGCAGCAGCTGCAACTACAGCTCTGGCCATGACCCCAGGTCTGGGCTGGAGCTACAGCCACAAACACAGCAGCTTCCCATCTTCCCAATACCTCTTTTTGAATCCAAGAGAAGGGTCTTTTCCCCTAAGTCAAATGGGGAAAAAAACCCTTGTCTTGGATTTTAGTAAATGTAAGACAATAAGGTATGCACCTTTACCAATACAGCCCTTTATTCTATGAAATGGAGAGAGCCAGAACAAGGGCATGTGCCATTTATGTTCCATTTTAAAACCAAATTTAAGTGACACTCAGGTTTTGTGTGAGGTGACTTTTTCCTTAAAGCTGTCGTGCTGTAGAATTTAAGAACTTGTACTGCTCCAAGAATGACAATGTAAAACTATGTCTTATAATGTCTTTAGGGATTAGATAATGCTAGAGTGATGTTATAGCCATAAAGGAATAAGGTTAGAGGTAAAATATTTCTGTTTCTTTGATATATTTGTTGGGAATAATAAAATATGCATGTTTCAGTGTTGATGTGATGTTATGTAATGTGATATACTTTGTTATTTCTTGCTGGCAAAATTTTGGAATAAATTGGGGAAAATTGAAAATATGGGGCAGAAATTATTTTTTTAATAAAAAATTAGATGCTTTAAAAACACATTTTGTAGAAAAATATAGTGTTTTGATAAGAGTGGCTGGTATGAGTTGTTTTTTGACTGAAGAAAATGGTTTTGAATGCTTTTGTTTTAGTTCTTATAATGATTTAGAAAAAAAATGAAAAAACTTTTAAGAATTTATTTGCAGAGTTCTTCCGCACAGGATAATTGTTGTTTTTCCTTATGAAGTGGTGTTCAGGAGGCACAGACTTGTTATCTTATAACATGGAATTTACAGATTTTTAAAATTGTACAGATCCTTCATGAAATGATGGAAGAAATTGACTATGACCATGATGGCACTGTATCTCTGGAGGAATGGATCCAAGGAGGAATGACAACAATCCCACTGCTGGTGCTTCTTGGATTAGAAAATGTGAGTATTAACACAGCGATATCCAAAGGGTAACTTTTTGAGTCAATGGGGGCCATGAAACTGGTATATGTGCATCCTGCAGACATCTTCATTTTATTTATGGAAAGAAAATTAAAAGACCACAAGTCCTCTTAAATAGCTACATCAAGTAGACCATGTTGTCAAAGGGTAGGACACTACATACTGAAAGCTATGTTCTCTAAAGATCATAACTTCATATTGAAGGTGGAGAGCTACACTAAGATCACTTTTATACCAATTAGACACAGCTGTTGTACTGTTGGCAAGTTTCCAGTGCCACCTGCTGTCCTGCCATTGAGCAGATTTTGGGATTATATAGTTTAGCTGGATCATTCTATTTCTGGGTGCATGCTGTAAATAGTACACAGTGCTGCAATTTAAGCAGCTTCTTTAGCAGATTATTTTCTTTTTTAATTTTTAATTTTTTTTTAGGAATATGCACCTTTTCTTCCATTTGTATTATATAGCATAGTTATAGTTATTTTGGGAAGTAGTGAAGTACATAATTTTCAGTTGTCACATTTCAATCTCTTTGAATTTAGATCCACCTACATTACATCTATGAATTAATAGAAATTTTTCTTTCTGACATTACTTCATTACTGTGAATTAGAGGCAAAAGCTGAAATTAATTCTGGTGCTGTACACACTAATATAGACCTAGAAAATAATAACAAATTAAGCAGAAAATTTATAGGCTGCCATACTTGATTCAAACATTTCTCCTGTTGAGTATTTAATTAAGGAAATGGTTGTTTGATAATTATATTTTCGAAGGCCAGTTCAGTCATGTCAAAATTCCCTAGCATTGTGAAGAATTTGTCATTGTGAATGTGCATCGGTGTTTTGTCCAATGGAGGATATTTCCATGGTCTTATATGTGGAAAAATTATAAATACTTAGTTGTAAACAGAAAATAAAATGAATTATACTAAGTGTATTTTAATCAATAAGCAAAAAAACTTCAGGATTCATCTGCCACTTATATTATATTGAAGTGCTTTGTACTTCACTGTGATTTTCTGACTGATCAGACCATGATCCAGGGGGACCCCATGGATTCCCTTCACTAGTTTTGCAGGGATTTAATCAAATAACTAGGGATGGTGTAAAGCCCTGAAATTATTGCAAACTCAGTGAAAAATAAAATTGAAGCCCCTATCAGTTCCCTGAAACTTTTGTATCATTCACATTATCCATAGATCCAGCAAGAAATTATTTAGCTGTTAATGTTATGTTTACAGTATGTTTATAGTTCTGATGACTGCATTTAAATGTATTTTGAACAAAAAAAGCCAAAACTCTGATGTCTGTCTCTTTGAGTAATTTCCACAGATAGGGGAATATTTTCATTTGATATGGATGAGGGTGCATAACCAAGACTATTATATGCATCAGTTCACTAGTGAAAAAGCTGAGTTTTTTTTCCCAAATTGTAATAATATTTGTCATGCCAGAGTCCCTAGCATTCTGTAGTTTATCTCTCTGCTTATAAACATGGTAATGAAGACTGGTAAAAATGCCTTGACTTAAAAATTAAATGTAGAGTTATGGCAAGGTGAGGATGTTCATAATCAAGTTAGTATCTGAGAGAGGAAGAGACAAACTCCTGGCAGATATAGCAGTCTGTTTTTGATAGTGTTAACAACTTGGGTATCCAGAAACTGAGAGCAGCTAAAAGAAATCCTGTTTGCTCTGGAGGCAAATTCCCTTCATGCAAGACTAGTTTAGAAAATGCTTCTGCCTTCCCAGAATATTGCTTAGTTTTTAACTTCAGCAAAACATGATACATTTTAACACAACACCGAACTGGGGCAGTCGGTTAGTTTAGAGATGCTGGGGTTAAAGTAAAGTAGAGATCATTATTATAATTGGTCTCATGCTCTGAGGATAGTGACAGTATGAGAACAGGATAAATCACTCTAAATAGGCCCAGTTCAGTGCTCTCCCTCTAAAGCATCCACCCCTGCCACTGTTACACTGGATACTAGGCTAGGTGGACAGTTAGTCTGGCCCAGTTTGGCACATCTTATATTCTTAAATTATATAGAGATTTGAGTATTGCTTGTATTGGAATCTATCATGCCTCATGAACACCAGTGGCATCAGGAATAAAAAAGGGACATAAAACTAGGGAGAGCATTGAGATTAGTGGAACTTTGCAAATCAGTACTTCTGAGGTGAAGGAGCTGTTTCTGTTGCAAATATCTAAGATTGTTCTGATACAAACAGTTAGAGGCTTCTCTGTGCATTTCTGCAAGCCCCGGCTCTAATATCATTTTAAAGTTAATAGTATATTGATTGTCTTAATTCATAGATTTAAGGTCAGAAGGGACTATTGCGATCATCTAGTCTGACCTGCAGAACAAAGGCATAGAATTTCACCCTCTAATTCCAGCACCCAGTCTAGTAACTTGTGGTTGTATGAGTGCATATCTTTTAATGAAATATCCACCCTCATTTAAGGGTTTCAAGTAAAGGAGAATCCATTGCATATCTTGGTAAATTAATCCAATGGTTAATTACCCTCTCTGTTAAAAATAATTGATTTATCTCCCATTTGAATTTGTGTAGCTTCAGTTTCCAAACAATGGCTTTTGTTGTGGCTTCTCCTCTTACATTAAAGATCCCTTTGCTATCAGAAATTTTCTTTCTAAGTTATGTTTTTGTAGACCATCATCAAGTTACCTCTTAACCACTTTTTCATTAAGTTAAGTAGATTGAGTTCTTAACGTCTTTTAATTGCTTGGTATTGAGCCAAGTAGGGGAAGGTATATATTATTTTCTAGGTTGATTATTTAATTGTTGATTGTCTGCAGTGGTGTTAACTATTTACTTAGATATACCCTCTCATCTTATATATAATATGTACATTTAATACAATCCGGCAGATCCTCAGTTAGTGTAATTTGTCAGAGTTCTGTTGACCTCATTGGAGCTATGATATTAGCTGCCACCCCACCCTGATATTTTTATCACAACTACCATATCATTTGTGTATTATATTTATATTGTATATATACATTAATGAAAAAAGTAGAAGGCTAACATAAATGCTTTCAATTACAATTACAGTAGAATCTTTCTAATTACACACCTGTTCCAGCTAGGAGAACATTAAACTAAAATGGTCTGAAAAGAGTTGAAATAAAACATAGAATTATATTATATAAAACTTAAAGAATAAAACAAGGTTATTCAACCTATCTTAACTATATTTACCCTGTTCTTCATTATTTTTTTTTCTGCAACTACTTTGCAGGCAAAACAATGAAATAAATATGAATTTTTCCTGTGAAGCAGCTACAAAATAGGGGCAAGGAATTATATTTACATAATGCCCCTTGCCAAGGCAATCAGCATGCCAAAAGACAGTTAAAATGCAGCATAGTTATATTTTAATTGATAATTGATTCATTCTTCTTTATATAATATATCTATATATAACATTTGGCAATTTCTGTACTTAAAGACCATATCTTACAGTTTTATACCTGGTTAACCACCAGTTTTACCACTTAGCACTTGGCTGAATGCTTCTCTATCAGATGTCACATCTACTAAAATTGTTCTCCTTAAACACCAGTAATTACTGTTCACTAGCATTTACTTAAATTGGTTTCCTGGGAGATGTTCCAATATAGTATCTCTCTCATTTAAGAGTTTCCTGATTAAGTGAAAATTAAGATTGTTACAAGTAACTGAAAACTGGGAGATATAATGGAAACCTAACCTTTGATGGTTGTCATACATATACTATATAGTGCTTCTGAAAGTTTAAAACTGCTTTAACAACATTAATAAAATAAATCTCATGATATTGCCATGAAAACTTTCATATCTATTTCATAGGGAGACTGAGACACAGAAGGTTTAAGTGATTATTTTTTCACAGCCAAAAAGGTCCAAAAAGGCACTTTATTGTCACAGTGCTAAACACTGACTTTCAAGTGCTTGACATTTGTAGTGAAATCCAGAGTTAAACACCAGAGTTAAGTGCCTCAGAATAGCAGAAATATAGCATGATGAGAGCAGGGATCCATGTCAGGGAAGACAAAAGGGAAACATTGAGGTCAAGTCCTAAATCCTGTCTCTTTGTGAGGCACAAATGTTTTACTTATTACTCCTGGGAGATTGCCTTTCACCTTTTTTTTTCAAAAACAGAGTACAGGTCACTCTTTCAAGGCAGCTGGAAAAGGAAATGTTGTCCCTCATTTATATGGGTAACTTATGATGGGAAAACAGAAGATGTGGTAGACCTGTGCTCAGTTTCCTCTTCTGCTAGAGAAAATTCAAACCCACATCTTTTGCTCCCCAGAAAAATAACCTAAAGCAGTGATTCTCTATCAGTATTGTGAATTTTTTTTAAGAGTGCACCGGGTACTGCACAGTATTAGCAATCTTAGATGTGCAGAAACTTGCACATAATTTGCAAAATATTTCAAATAGGTTCAAATAAGAATTCATAGTGTCAAAAGACTAGCTATGGTCTTTCTGAGTTCTTTGCAACAAAAGAATTGCTCTATATAATTTTTTCCAGAGTAAAAAATGAGTGAAAACTAAAAGCTGACATTTTTTAGGAGTGTCCTGAGTCTTAGGATGGGGGGGGCCTTGAATCTAGTTGAGGCCCTGGCAGATGATATTTTTTTCAAGCAACAAGTAATGTTGTTTTTTGGAAGCTGTTATGCTATGTGATTTGCTTCATGTTCACAGGGCAAATGACCTGGGGACCTGGGGAAGGGAAAGGGAGTAAGTGCCCTGGGAACTTGATCTGCTATCATTTGCCAGCAAAGGGAGCTGGAGAGCTGCTAGAAGGAACTGTCAGAACCCTTCCCAGACCTTCAGCTATGCTGCTAGTGGGAAGGAGGAGTGGTGCTTCTTGAATTCTTGTGCAAAGCAGGGGAGACCCATACAAAGCAGGGAGGCAAGAATGGTGGGGTTCAAATTCTCCAGGGACATCTTTGAGGTGTTTTTTTTGT